TCTTCCTCGGCCGAACTCCCCTCATGGTGCCGACAGAAGGCAGCGGTCTAGGCTCGAAGAAGAAGTTCGACCTCCTCTCGAAGACCAAGTGAGGCCTTTTTTCATTGCATCGGCGAAATGACACAGAGTCACGGGCCTAGCACCCGCTGGCGGCAGTGTAAGAGTTCTGCTCGACAGTGTGTTTGCATGACCTAACACTCTTGTGTAGCCATTTGGCATCCAATCGGCTATGTTATTATGATGTACTGTAGCCGGGATGGCACAGACAAAGAGAAGGTGTCTGGCGACCTGCTTCTTCTCTCAATTAGGCTTCTTGGCCTGGCCTTATCCAGCTGTCTTGGTGAGTTTGTATCTTCACGCCATCATATCCTGTTAACGTTTTCCGGAGGCCGATTCTATCTTGGCTATAGCTCGCACCAACGGTAAGGCCCTGACGATGACAGCAACATTCACAGTTTGGAGCCTCTTCCCGCGATGATGAAAAAAGCCACTTTCTTTCGTGCTCTCATCCTTAGTCATGGCGAAGAGCTTGAGCGCCTGGAACAGTGTCTGCTGTGTTGGCTAGAAATGCCCGAGCCACAGCCACTCGAAGATTTCACATGTCTACGCCATTCTACGCCCAGGTGATGGCCGGACTTTGAGTTCACGGACCGCGCTGCAATGATGCCATTTGTGCGGGTTGTCGAGGTAGAAGTGGGAACAAAACAGGAGCCTTCTGGAGGCCAGGTGAGGAAAGCGCAGGTTTGGAATGTAGCTTGAATGCCATCGGTGCAGAATCGCACTTCCAAAACGAACGCGAGGGCAAGGGAGGCCGGCCAATCGGTGGATCCGTAGAATGCAAGAGCAGAGTCAGAAGCTTCTGCAGCGTCCCACCGCCCAGCTGTAAACCCAATGAAAGAAGTGTTGTGGGAGCGTCAGCCGTGCTCCAGGTCTTGTATGGTCCCTTCTAAGAGGCTAGTTGCCTCGCCGGTTTTGCACAGGCATCTACTGTCGAGAGCTTGAAGATGGTGCGGTTGGTAATTTAGAAATGGTTGGTAGGACTGCTCTCAGCAAGGGGCGCCATATCGCAGCAAACTTGATGGGCCCTGTTTTAAGCGTCCGTCCGAGAGACTGTGCAACAGAGTTGGACAGTGTTTAAACTACGCGCGCTGACGAAACATTGTATAAGGGTGCAGAAAGCCGGACAAAGACATAATTACGGAAGCTGCCTCGCCTTGGAATGTCGTAGCATGATTACTGAGATGCTAGCGCGCAAGTCGGAGCACCAAATGCTGGCAAGGTCATGCTGAGATCGAGAACTGCATCAGTCATCTTCGTGGCCAAGCAGGGGTAGGCGAGTGTCTGTCACATGACGCACAGAAGATACATCCGACGAGCAGACAGTGTTGACGATGCCGATGATGATGGTGGCTTGAGTTGTCGTCGTCGTAGTCGTAGTCGTAGTCGTAGTCGTAGTCGTAGTCGTAGCCGTAGCCGTAGCCGTAGCCGTAGCCGTAGTCGTAGTCGTAGTCGTAGTAGTCGTTGTCGTAGTAGTAGTAGTAGTAGTAGTAGTAGTAGTCGTAGTAGTAGTAATAGGAGTAGTAGTAGTAGTAGTAGTAGTAGTAGTAGTAGTAG